ATATATATATACTTAAAAAAATAGGAGAAAAATATTAAAAACAAATCGGAGAATGTGCATGATATATGAAAAATTTTATTGTTTCTTCCCAGTTTGGTAATAATTTAATATGCGACTTTAATTTATTATAAGATCTAGAAACTGTGGATCAGCAGATTCTGAATATTCTCCAAAGTAGGTGTGTCTGCTTTTGAGAAGTTAGCAGCTATCAAAACGAAACCATTCGAGAGAGAAAAGCAATAGCTTTACGCACACATAAAATGTTCACCAGAAACACTTGCTCTTAGGTATTCAAAAGAATAATGCCACCTTTCATTGACCACCGAATTCCTTTAAGTTGTAAAATTTTAAGCAGTTATAATTAAAAAACATTATCAAAGTCTCTTTTACCAAATAAAGAAGAGCCACTATAATTAATCGAATTAGATTAAGATTATTCGTCATCATGAGTTATATTTAATTATGCTATGCATCACTACTGTTTGGTCTTCTTTTTTATTTTTTTTCATTCTTACTGCCATTGCCATAAAAACATAAAGGCTCTTTAATTACGTAAAGCTCTCTTCCATTTTTAATTTGAAGATCCTTCTGCACCTAACTCAACGACAACTAGAAAATAATCCATGCTAATTAAGATCCATCAATTAATAAAAATGTAGCTCGGAAGTTTAAAAAGAAAACAAAAAAGTAGTTCCAAATCGGGTTGTAACTGGTCTAAGGGATGTTAGTTTCCGATATATATGGATAGAGGTTATTCTTACCAATATCATGATTATAAAAAAATTAGGTTATACTTAATTATTAGGAAATAAACAATGAATCTTTCCAACAACTACTTTAAATATGTTCTTGTTTCAAGTTAACGATAGCATAACTTGTTGGAAACATTCCGACACTGAAATTAGATATGTATTTCTTATCAAAATTATCACTTAAAGTCTAAATTCAAAAGTTGCCTCTCTTAGATAATGAAAAGAAAATATTTATACTAGAAAAATACCTAACTATTTGTAGAGATACAACAAAGAAACTTAAATAGTAATGTATGACAATGAATAAGATCAAAAATACTCTATTAGAAACGACTTAATTGTGCACGAGCCCTACTAATACTTGGTCTAAGAGTTTTGGAACCTATCTATTACATAAATAATATACATTTCCTTCAATCTATTCTCATGTAATATGTTGGTAAATTAACTCATGACATTGAACACGACTCATTGCATATGGACAAATATTTTTTGATCAGTTGAAAATATAATTATGAAAAGTTTTATTTTATAATAAATTGGTTATAAAAATAGTTAATCTCATTTTTATTAAAATCACTTATAATTTCCTAATATGTTCTCTATCTCTCTCGTCTATAAATTTAAATATTTTATATTTTATACGCTATTGTTTCTGTCTATTTTAATAAAGGTATAAAAAATAGTTGAAAACTAAATCAATAATATAATCGTGGTTTTTTTTTAAATGAAAGATAAATAAAAGTAGTTTTCTTCTTCAAAAGTGACGAATAAAAAGAAATAAAAATAAAATCAATAATTTATTTAATGGAAAACATATGTTAACGAATAGATTGTCACGGACAATTGAGTTAATTAAAAAGACTACAATAAATTTTAATTAAGACTAGGGTTTGGCTAACAGAGTCCGGATCAAATTATAAATTTTAATTCTCGAATCAATAAATAAAATGTTCTTTTATTAAAAATCATGACATTTGATATATCAATAATAATAAGAGTTAATCACTTATATATTGTCAGTGTAAAATTTTTTTTACATTAGTAACCAATTATATCTCTTAATTATATCATGTCATTGTTAAAAGTAAATGTGTTTATGGTGACATGACACAATTAAGAGATATAATTGGTTGCCAGTATAAAAAAACTTTATACTAACAGTATATAAGTGATTAACTCTAATAATAATAACTATAAAAAATTTAATAAAATTATTAATTTTATTTTTCAACCAATTCTCTTAAAATATTACTGTAGAGTTTTCCCTAAGATTTAATATATATATATATATATATATCGGACATAATGATTAAATAAATATAACAATATAAAGCAAAAAGCCACGAGAAAAAATGGAGAACGGTGCTTATCTTTTCAAGCAAGTTTTTTTATTGGAATAATTTTTAAGGATAAAAATTGGATATAAGATCGTATAATTATTTTAATGTCCTTTTCTAAAATAGGAGTTGAGCAACTTTTAGTGTCACACCTGCACAATAATGGTTTGTCTTTATAAAGGATAAGACATTATAAAGTTAAATTTTAATTTCGAATAGGATAATATTATAAAAACATCATATGATTATATCTAATAAATTAAGTTTTGCCCTAAATCGTAACAATTTTTTATTACTAATTAAATGAGGAAAATAATAAAAAGTTGTATATTTTTAAATATTAAATTCAAAAACATTTTATTCAATATTTTTTATAAAGTAATAAGAGGATATTAAGAGTATTATATATATAACACTACTCTTTCTACGCTGCACCCATGGGCACATAAGAAGAAGACAAATATATAAAAAAAATGTTAATTTATTTAGTGATTGAAATATTTAATAAAATATGTATATTATTTTTACACAATTTGTCTTGGCACGCACACAATAGATTTGAATTAAAATTCTTTGACCTTTTCTCTTAAAGGTTGGTGGAGTCCTCTTGACCGCCATCAAGTTTCTGGAAGGAGAATAAGTCAAATGTTCATAATATTCGGACATATAAATTACTAATTACACCACCATTTTCACCTCAAACTATTAATAATTACTACTTCCTTCTAATATAGTAAGTCTCATTAAAAACATAAAAATAAATATCGACAATTTTTTAATATAGTATTAATTGTTATTTTTATTTTTTTTAATAATATTATTTTAAAAAAAATAGATATTGTGTTACATAATTTATAGTAAAAAAAATAATTTTAAGATTAATTTTATAAAATTATTATTCTCTCTATATAAAATAATCTAAGGGTATTACTTAGGACGTATACGAGTAATTCATTATAATTAAATATTTACCATTTTTGTGCCAAAAATAAATTATAACGAAAAGGTAGTAGGGTAAAGCAAAACATTAGCTGCATATATATACCCATGATATGGAAATACAGGAACCTAAATATATATTCTTGATCCTATTGCATGAAGGTCGTGAGCAATGCTTAATGCTTCAATTAATTTATATATATTTTTTATGAGCCTTCAATTAATTTATATACAATGACATGTACATTTTCTGATAAATTAATGTTTAAAGAAAAATATCTAAAATTTAAAGTAAGCAACCTCGCGCTTTTGTTGAATAAAAGAGTAATGATATGTTGGGAGTGTTTCACACACATTAAAATACTAAATAAGAAAAACTATGTAAGTTACTGAACAACTTGTTGTTCTATATATTCTTTAGTGAATAATAGAGAACACAAATTAAATAATATTACTGTTGTTCTCTTTTTCTAAAATTATATCTCAGGTATAACTTTGCTCGCTTAATTATTTATGCTAGTTTTTTTTAGGTTCGTTCCTGGAGTATCCACCGCCGACAGCAATGACTAATCTCCTCGCTATGTTGGAGACACTTCAAAGGGTTGGATAACTTTGCTCGCTTAATTATTTATGCTAGTTTAATTGAGAGTTCCTATTTATTACTATTTTTTTAATAATTACTTACGCTCCTTAATTAATTTACCACCTTCAAAATTATAAAATGCATCGTTAAAATTTTCACTTTATTGAAGCAACTACTCTTATTAGAACTCTTTTCTAAATCGGAAGTTTTATTTCATTCAAATCTTGTGGCAAATTATTTGGCATGATACACACCTACATGAGACAGTACAAGCATATTATACTAGACTGTGGTTGGGCCCAAGACGGATCCAATTGAGGATGTGGGTCTAGTTTGAGCGAAATGGAAGCCCATATGGAAGCCCATGGCCACGGGTCCTATAAGTAATATCCACGTTGGGCCCTTTATTTGACAAACAACTTATTATATAGGTTGAGAGGAAACCTCCAAAGGCAACAACCAACAGCTTCTAATTCGAGTCCTTTATATAATTAAATATGAGTTAATCACCTATATACTGTCACCGTAAAGTTTTTTTACACTAGCAACCAATTATATATTTTAATTATATCATGTTACTGTTAAAAGTAAATATATTTACAGTGACATGACACAATTAAAATATATAATTAGTTATTAGTGTAAAAAAACTTTACACTAACAATGTATATGTGATTAATTCATTAAATATATGTTAGGAGTTTGATTATTTAGAATGTGAATGAAATAATCTCATAGGTGTGGGAATATCTGTTTTAAAAAATTCCAATTAGAAGAAAAACCTCAAATCCCATTGTTGAATTTTGAATATATTATAATCAATTAGCTTTGTCTTATTTTGTGGTAGAATCACTAAGCCGGTGATCATTAGCATATTCTTTATGGAATGGAATGGAATTGGACAGTTATAGTTTGAAAGGTTACATAAAAATGAAAGGCCACATACTTTAAACAATAGGAGTGTCACGCTCAAAAAAGTAAAATAAAATAGAATATGTTATGAGTTATAATAGTTAATTACATATTAATTAATAACATTATGATAAGAACTTAGAATATGAGCACTATAACTAGCATGGGTTACAAGTCTACAACCATTGTTCTACCATGAAGCCGAACTCCGGCGAGACCGCGGCGGAGAGAGTCTCCGGCACGGCGGAAGATGACGAAAGCCGCAACCGGAGAACGGTGAAAACGGTGTACAAGGCACTGCGCGACGGCGAGACGGAGGACGTTGCGAAGGTGGTGAGGGCGGAGTTGGAGTGGTGGTACCACGGGCCTCCTGAGTGCCACCACATGATGAGAGCGTTGACCGGGGAGTCAACGGATAAGGGTTTCAAGTTTAGGCCTCGGAGGATCAGGGCCGTTGGTGAGCGCGTGATGGTTGAAGGGTGGGAGGGGGCGAGGGAGTACTGGGTGCACGTGTGGAGGCTCAAGCAGGGGATTGTGGCTCAGTTGCGTGAGTACTTCAACACGTCGCTCACTGTGGTGCTTCGGGTTTCGGAGGATGGGGACGAGGCTCGGGTTTGGAGGAGCAACCCTAAGGTTCGGGCTCGTCGCTCGTTACCGGAGCTTGTGCTTTCCATTTGAATAATGTGTGTGTGTTATATTAATTATCATGCAACATGCAACAACCTTGGATCTTCATCATGGATGTTAATTGGTTTTTCTTTTTAATCAAAGTATTTGGCTTCTTTAAGGGATTCTTGAGATATTTTATATGCTTGTTCTTCTCTAAGAATGTATTCTATATAAAATTAATTCAAACAGATTTTCTCCCACAAATTTAAAGCGTGTATTCACAACTGAGTCAATTTTTTTTATGTGTTTTTCATTTTGTGTTGGGAGGAATTGGAGATATTAATGTTGTATGTCGAAAAGTTTAAGCAATTTTGAGTTATAATGTCTTGATGATTTTGTCTTTTCTTTTAACTCCCTTAACACCCGAGGGAGCACAAGAACAACATAAAATATATAATGAGTATTAAATGAATGAAATATTCTTTTCAAAATTTATATTAATATAAAACGTTTGCTTATCTTAGATAATAAGTTAAATTAAATATTCTTAAAAAAATTACATATTTGTTAATTTAATAAATTTTTTCAATTTTTTTTTGTAACAGAAAGAAAGATATGCAAGAGGGTAAAAGAGAAAAATATTATTTTTATGAATATGATTCATATAATATCCTAAAATTAATAATAAAAAATTAATTTATATATGTTCACAAAATGTGACTTCCTTAATCAAATATTATCATATAATAATAAAAGAAAAAAGTGGGTGATGTAATGATAAAAGATAGAGATAAAATAATTTTAAAAAAAAGTATTATATGAATAAGGAGACAAATTTAGTGAATATAGAAGTGAAGAAGATAGATTTTGATTATATAATCGAATATGACTAATTAAGATTGTTTTAGTTTTAACTATTCCATTAGTTTGATTACATATTTAAAAATATTCTACTATCTCAACCCTCTTGATATTGATATGTTTGATTTTTTTTATAACTATTTATCGGTGTGAATTATCACTTTTAATAAAATTTACCTTTCTAATTACGTTTTTTTTTTCCATTTACAACATTACAATTCCAAATTTATTTTAAAAAACTAAATTTAATATATATATATATATATATGTGTATATATATATATATCACTTTGGTGCTACTTTTTATATTTAATAATTTATATTTGATAAAAGCTACATATACCTGTATGTATAAAGAAGGCTGACGCATGCAATTGAGAAGTCGATCAACCACGTACTGACAACATGACTGTTGTAACAAATAACAATCTAAAAAGCAGGCAATATAGTATACAAGATGATTATACATTGTTAATATTCATATAACCACCCATTATTTGAGCAACCCAAAACCAAAAGCATAACATAAAAAAGTACTAAAAGCCACAAAATCACACCCAATAGCACAAAGAAACACAATGATCACCACTGACACACACATGCACATAAGAGTGGTGAACGTTTGAAACCCAGTAAAAAGCCCTAGATTTCATGGGCATGCAATTGAAATGCCCTAGATGGCGAGAATAAGACCAGGCACAGATTCATCACAAAGCCTACTCTGCCAAATGCATTGACACTTAGACTTGGAAGCATTGGGAAGCACTTTTTGTGACAGGCGAGTCACCGTCACGGAAGTGTTCACATACTCTTTGACCTGGGTTATAAGCCCATCATCACTCACGGTCCAGGCGTGGACCCACCACACCAAGTGGGCCTCGTCGAACCCTTCGGCAATTACCACCGGCCCAAAGCCCACCACGTGTTCAGGAACCAGGGCCTTGGCGGAGGGTAGTGAGGAGCCCGTGAGCCAGGGAACCAAGTGGTGCCGGTGGTGTGGTGGGCCGTGGAACCACCACTCCAGGTCTTGGGCCACCAGCCCATGGAGTGGTTGGGTTTGTTCGGAGGTTAGAGCCTTGTATAACTCGGTGACCACTCTCTTGTTGCGCTCTACATATTCCTCTAGGGCTAGGCGTTCCTGTGACTCTGAGTTTGCCAGCTCCGGAATGTGTTGAGTAATTAAACAAATTGCTATTGCTTTTTTACTTTCAATTCGAGGAAGAAAACTATGGATTTGTGGGATCAATGTGGTTAAGTGGGGGATTCTTATATAGTAGTGGAGGGGACCAAAGGATTAGTATTTTTAACTAAATATAATTTGAATGGTGCCGTTGAATAGTTAATAAATTAAGGTTAAATATACTAACTACTCTTCTTTAATTCTTACTTTGTAATTTTACTTTTCTATATTATGTAATTTTGGTTCATTAATTCTAAAACAATTCACGATTTTGGTTTAATTATCAAAATATGCATACATTAATTTTAAAATGGTTGTTCATGTAGAAAGTGATGATATTTCGTATTTTCATGTTATTGCATGTATGTTATCAGTTACTTTGAAGGTCAATTTGACCCAAGTTTGGACAAGACAACCCTATATTACAATTATCTTTTTAAATGTATTTCGCCCTAATCAAGTGAAGTATACTTAGTTCAAGACGACTAGAATAAATCCAAGACAAAAATGGGCTAATGTTTTATATGAAAAAAATATAAAAATACTTGGTAACTTGACGCATTTCTCACCTATCAACACTACTAACATGGAATAACAAACATAATTAATTTTCATGCCAAAAAGATTTCTATATAAAGAGGACTCATTCATCAAGATACACAATTATTCTTCATTCTTAAAAACACTTAAGGTAAATACTAATATAGGCATTGAAATCATTGCAATTATCACTATCGAAGTCCGTGATTATCATTGCAAGAACTATCACCACCGTAGATAGAGATTACCATTACAAGAATCTCTGAAAGATGTCGAAAACCTAATTTTTTGCTTAGTGTCACAACACCTATCAATGCATTATAATTGTGCCAATTTGATGGTTGGATTAAAATCGTAGATTTTTTACAATTGAATAACTATAATTATTTACTACTTTTTCAAAATTTATTAGATTACAATGAGATGTTTATTGGATTGAATTTTTAAAAGATTATTTTGACATATTTTTGTTTTGTAAATTTTAAAAGATTATATTATAATGTAATGACTTATAAAGAAAAGAGAGAGACAAAATATTTTTAAAAAATTTATTTAACTTTTAAAATATTACTTTTATGGATAGATTTGATGATTTTTTTTTAAAATGAATTGGATGAATTATATTTTTATTTGAATTTTTAATAAATTTAAATAAATTAATAAACTATTTTTATTCAATGATCCATTTAAAAAATTATTATATTCATCTATTTGTCAATAATTATCGCAAAAATCATTTTATTAGTATTTTTATTGATTGATAGTGTATAAAAATCATCCATATGTTCACTATACTCTTACAATAATTACCACAAAAGTCATTTTTATCAGTATTTTTATTAATTGATATTGTATAAAAATTAGAATGATTTTTTAATACTAAGAATATTTCTTATCAATAGTCAAAAATCAATCTCTTTTAAGATAAAAATTATCAAAATAAATTTTATTTCTCCTAACAAAGTTTTCTTTATACACGGATTAAGAAATCCAACATCTTTCAGCATAATAATCCATAGAAATTAACCACAAATAAATAATTTTGTTTATTTTATTTATAGTATAAATTTGAAGTTGTCGGATTTAGAGTCAGCGCCGCATCAACTTTTTGCAATTCTGATTTTATGTCCACAATATTTCATTATTAAAGTTCTTTATTCTTTTGAAATTTTAATTCCTTTGAACGCATGACATCATTGTTCATTCTTTCCCTCTTGTCCTTTTTATCTTAGGTTGTTTTAGTTACTTAATAATAGAACTTACTTTAGTCTTCATCATCCTTATCAATTATTCAAATAAATAAATAATATCCATTAATCTCCAACTTAGTGTATTTTTTCGTCTCAACTTTCTACTTGATTAGTATTTGATCTAACTAATTGAGTTTTGTTTTCTGAATGTTTTTATTAAATTATCTTTTTCCCTATAATATTTTAATTTACAATTTAATTTTTCAATTTTAATCTTACTATTAAATGTTTATTAATAAACATGACTTACCATTAAATAAATGAATGATATTTAATATTTAAACCTAAATTATTCTATAAGGAGTTGTCTTAGCTTAACTAATAGTCTCGAATTCAACTTTTGGACATGTAGTTGTGTTAAATATGTTGGAGATTCTACATCATTTAGAAATAAGATTATAATAGTATATAAAGTAAAAAATAATATTCACCTTACAAGTCAGTTTTATAGGGATGAGTTAGGCTTTTTACCTACTTTTTAATACTATATCAAAGCCTATCATGATCAATTGTTGGTGGGTTTATCTAGTCACCTACTATCAAGCCTTTATCAGACCATTCACGTATATCCAGTCCTTTTATATCTAGTAGTATGACCAAATTAGTACATATAAGTGTGCAACAATCCTCATCTTACTAACTAATTCTATAGGATTGAGTTAAACTATAATTCACTTTTTTAAAATTGTATCAAAACATACCAAAACTTATTCTAATAAATATTTTTAGGCTTATTAGGTCACTCACTATTAGACCGTTATCGGACCACCTACAAATGTTCAATCTTGCAAATTTTACACTTGTAATATTCAATCCTTGACGTGAGGAGAGTTTATTGAAAACCTCCCATCAACTAGAAATAAAGACATAATAATATATATAAATTATAAACAATTTTTATCTCATAAACCAATTTTATAAAAATTAAGTTAGATTCCTAATCTACTTTCTTATATATTCGTTACTCAAACTCATATAATAAATCCTGTATAACAAAAAGTGTGTTAATATAATCTCCACACATAAATTTTCATATATCATGTGGACAATGATTAGACTTGCATCTAGTTAGCTATTAGGTTTCGTTACACATCCCAATAAAATTAAAACAAAAGCCTCTTTTTATGCATGAATGAAAAGCATTATCGAGTTTTGGACTTTAATATAAACATGATTGACAAATAATTTATACTTGTAAACTTTACTACAGCGTGTACATTTTACTTTACTAGATTAGGGTGTTTGTAGAACAGCTTTTTATAGATTTATCATTTATTTGTGTCTTTCACTGGCTCGAAATTTTAATCTAGTTATTTGTTTGAACATACTCAACAGGAATAAGACTCGAAATATATAAAGTAAAATCGAACTAATCCAACTTATTGACATGATATATAGTTTTAACATTATATATAATTAAATGTAAAATTAAAGTAGTATACAGTTACAATTAAAATATATTTAATGATTTATATATTTTAAAATAAATACTAATAATATTAATATAATATCATGCAATATAAAATATGATTTATTAAATAAAAAGTTATATTATTCACAGTTATTTAAAAAAATATTTTTAAAGAATATAAAGTTGAACCGGATTAAAATATACAAAATGTAACTTGAATCTCCCAAAAATATATCTGATTTAATTTTTAAAACTTAAACTCGTTAAAAATGAAATCGAACCAAATTAGGTTAATAAGACAAGATGTGTCGTGAAAGTCTCACCTAACTTCTGGTTTATATTTTTTAAGAGAGAAACAAATTTAGTTATTAAAAACTTAGTGTAAATTGCAATCAATCCCACAACAAGATAAATATCTAACGCCATTTGAAATATTATATTAACGATAATAGATATGAATTTTCTTTTTACCATATTGGAAGTAGCACTTAAGTAAGCAAAAAGGATAAGTGAGTCGGTAAAGATTAACTTTTTTTGACAACTCACATTAGAATTTTAATTACATGATCCGTTTTATTTGCTAGAAATTATTGTAGTAATAGGATAAGTGTAATTGATTTATATTTAATTTAAGGGTTATGTTTTTTTTACTCCAAAGGTCGATTCTATTTAATTTTAGTTTTTTATTTTTTTATTTTAGTTCTACAAATTTATATAATATTCCTTTTTAATTTTTTTAAAATACTATTAACTTTTGTTGTTAAAATAAGTCACTTTAACATCTAAATCATCATTAATTTTATTGACATAATTTTTTTTTAATTTAAAATATTAATTATTTTATGATTAAATTAAGATTTAGGGTAAAAATTAATTTTACTCTTAAAATTTTTACTATTCACTCTTAGACTTAGATATGGAGATTTCAAAAGTACTCTATTTTATTTTATTATTTCTCTATTTTGCTTTCACCCTTTGCAAAGGAAGTCAAGGGTCTCTCGTTTCTAAAAGACAACACCTTGAAGCTCGGAGAGGGAAAAGAATGAGTGTTGTTTAAAGTAATTAGCGCGTTGAAGTTTAAGGTGAAACGATGTCACTGAAAATTGGGAATTTAGAACTTAGAGGATTACCAAACGAAGACATGAAACTAAACGTTTAAGTACATGGTGTTGATGATGGAAAAAAAATATTTGCTTTGAGTTTGTGAGAATACTTTAATATAATTTGCTGCAAGATTCTTTGTTTATGTAAAAAAGAAATTGTTGAAATCTTCATACATGCGTCTACGAGTTAATAGTGAAAAATTTTAAATCTAAAATTAGTTTTTATCCTAAAACTTAACTTAACCCAAAAATAATTAGTAATTTAAATCAAAAAAATTTCATGTCAATAAAACTTATGGTGATTTAGGTGCTGAGATAACATATTTTAACAACACAAGTTAACAGTGTTTAAAAAATAATTAAAAATAAGTATTATATAAATTTGGAGGACTAAAATCAAGGAAATTTTTTTTAAGGGACTAAAATCAAATAAAGTCAATTTTAGGAGGACCAAAAACATATTTAACCCTTATTTAATTTAAATCATGGACAATAATTTATCTTTAAGTATAAAATACTCAAAAGATAAAAATATTTACAGCTACTATTATCGGCATTACTCACCATTATTGATAATAACGCTTATCAATATCCTTTATTGTCTACCACCACCATCACTCTACCTTATTATCATTGTCATTGTAGCTATTAGTATTGTCATTATCCATTATCATTACTATTATTATTGTCATTATTACTATCATCATTACTCACATTAAGATAATTAATAATAAAATATATTATAAAAAATTTAAAATTATTTTATTTATATTGTTTATAATTCGTCAAACAATGTATAGTAAAAAGTTGTTTAATAATTTAAATATTTATCTTATTTTATACCTTAATGTGTATCAAACAATTTCATTGACTACTATGAAATGAACTTCAACTTTCAAGTTCGTTAACATAGTAAATACATCCATAACAAATATATAAAGGAATTATTCCTTTTTCGTGTCTACTTTCTTTTAGACACATATACTCTTTTAATATATTTCAATTTGTTTCTATCTACGTATCTTTGATGGATAAAATTGAGAAAATAATGTGTAAACTATTCGCTCAATAATTTTAACTGTTCGTCAATATTAACGATACACTTTTTATTTATTTATTTATTTATTTCATTATTATTATTATTATTATTATTATTATTATTATTATGTTTTGTTTTTTCATAGACACATATACATAGTGCATTTATTTGTGCTATTATAATTTTAAAATAAATAAAATCATTTCGTTCCCTTAATATGCATACCGCAAATATTCAAACACTCGTAGAACTTGAAGTGAGTTGAGTGTGAATTTGGCTTCTTTTTTTTTTTTCTTTTTTTTTTCGTTCTCCTAGTATGTGTTTAAGACTAAACTCCATCAAAGTGCATTTCTTTCAAATTTTATAAAATTATTTTTGCAATGTGAGTTTGAAAATGTAATATTTCTCGAAAATTTATATTGCATATATATTTATCTCTTTTTATTCCCATGTGAAGATGTATGAATGTTATATTCGTATGAAAATAAAAGTTATTCTCCAATATAACTTCGGGTAAATTTTCTACTTTTATCCTATTCTACCTTTTTTTTAAATGTTTTTATTTATGAATTAAAATAAATTTAAAAGTATTCTAAAAAATATAAAATATTTATCAAACATTTTTAATGTCCAATATTAGATGAGTGAGAAGTAAAAGGAATTCATTGAAAAATTGAAACACACAATAGATAGTAAATAAATTACATAAGTAAGTTTGACATTATAATATGAGTTAATTATTCATACACTGTCAGTGTAAAGTTTTTTACACTGGTAACCAATGAAATCTTTTAAATTATTTTATTTTGGAGAAGAGTGCCCTACCAAATATTGGGTCACTAAGAGGTTTGGAAGTAATTGATGAAATTAAAGCAGCAGTTGACAAAGCTTGCAAACGTCCTGTAGTATCATGTGCTGATATCTTAGCTATAGCTGCTCGTGATTCTGTCTCCATAGTGAGTCTCTTACTAATCCTAGTTTTATTCTCTCATTGCTATTTAATTATATCTACTCTAAAATCTAAAACAAAAAATAAAATAAAATTTTCAGACCCATAAATGTTTACTCCTACCCTGTTAAGAAAAAAAGAGAAAGAGCCAAATAAGTTTCTAACATTCCTTTTTGTGCCATAAATAAAATGGGCCTCAGAGTAGCAAAATAAATAAATAAATAATAAGAGTCTAAAAAAATTATTTAAGAAGAATTATTATCTTTCATTATTTTTTACACCTAACTACATATATTGATTAAGAGCTTCTTTACACGGTCTTTTCCCTTGTGTTCATTAGATAAATTAATTTGATATGTTTACAATTAATCTAGACAAGGATCGGATTTTATTATTTTATTTATTTATACACTATATCCTTTTTTTAAGGAAAATTTAACTTGGTTTTAGTGAAATTTATGAGTTAGGGTGTATAAAAGGGGTTGGAAAAAAAAGCAAAAATATAGTCGTACATCATTTTTTTAAGGTGTAAAATTAAAAGGGATGATAAATAATAAATGATATGATAAAAAAAAAAATTGGGATAAAAAGAAGAGAGTAAATACATGAGTATCATTTCTCTAAGGTGGTGTATGGATTTATGTTAACAGTTGGGAGGGTCACTCTACTGGTACAAAGTTTTACTAGGCAGAAGGGATGCAACAACTGCTAGCAAGGATGCTGCAAACTCAAATCTTCCTCCTCCATTTTTCACTTTCTCTCAGCTTCTTTCTAGTTTTCAGTCTCATGGTTTGGACCTCAAAGACCTCGTAGCTCTTTCTGGTGCTCACACCATTGGATTTGCCCAATGCTCCACCTTTAGGAACAGGATCTACAATGATACCAACATAGACCCCAACTTTGCATCTTCTTTGCAGGGCACGTGCCCTAGAAGTAGTGGTGGAGATAGCAATCTGGCAGCATTGGATCGTGCCACTCCCTCAAGATTTGACACTTCATTCTATTCTGCATTGCTGAGTAAAAAGGGTCTACTTCATTCCGATCAAGAGCTCTTCAAAGGAGATGGTGGTGAAAGTGACAATTTGGTGAAGCTATACAGCAAGAACCCTTTTGCTTTTGCTAGGGATTTTAAGGCTTCCATGGTCAAGATGGGTAACATGAAGACTCTTACTGGGAGTGTTGGAGAGATCAGAAACAATTGTAGAAGAATCAACTAAATGCTTTCTTAGTGATGCTAGGGTTTCCATAATTAATGATGCGAATGAGATTGTTTTAAAGTTTAAATTTTGTTTAAGAATATTAAATAAAATATTGCTAATGTTGATTGACATTTATTTTTATTAGGAATGTTCAAGGTTTAAAAAAACCAAAAAAAAACATTGTTAATGGTTGAGGCTCAAGGCTTTTGAAGGTTTTTTTATTTTATTTTATTTTTATCAGTTTTATCGCATTAGTGCACGTGTTCAGGAGGTATTATAATTTCTCATCTTAGTTATTTTATTTTATTTTGTAAAAATGTTGTTTATAAAAACATAAATGTATTTAGCACAACAATACTTAAATTTATAAACAAATTTTTTTAAAATTAATTGTTTTTAAGTCCCACATAGAATAAAAGAATAACATATAGAATATACTTATCTAATTTTTAATTATTTTCTAAATTAAAGTTCCACATCAAGTTAAAAAATGACACAAAAAGAGTATATATTGTAACATTCCAAGTTTTATAAAATTATTAAAAGGATATTTTAATTAAATAAATAAGTTTTGTAATTATATTAAAGATTTTTTTAAATGACTTTGATTATTTTTGCTAATTAAAGAAAGATTTGTATTTTATTTTATTTTTATTTAATTAAATAAATAACTGATATGTCACTATTAAAAGATATGATTGGTTGTCAGTGTAAAAATTTTTTACACTGATAGTGTATAAATGATTAACTCTTATAATACAACTTCAAACATTTAAAGAGAATATATATATATATATATATATATATATATATTTCAATTTTCAATACTAACAAACTCAATAAAAATAACTTATTATATTTAATTAAATTCTAATACCTCTCTTCTTCAATTTGGAGAATAGATGTTTATGATTCCCAACTTGTCTATGAAATGATTGAAGGCAAAAGCTATAAGGGCCTTTTTGAATATATCAGCTATTGGATGCTCAATTTTGACATGATTGAGAGTGAAGAGTTGTCTTTGAACAAGTTCACGAATAAAGTGATAATCAATATCTATATGTTTGGACCTCTCATGGTGAGAGTGGTTGGAAGCAAGGTGAATGATAGATTTATTATCACAGAAGAGCATGGTTGTGTCAATTGGAATTTTAAAATGTTTAAGTAATCATTGTAGCCAGATCGCTTCACTGACCATTGAGGATAAGACATGATATTATGATTATGTCGAAGGATAAAGATAGGAAGACTTACAAGGGGACACCAGGGATGACACAAGAGGTAATAATAATCTGGGTGGTTGAGTGGGAAAAAGGGTTCTATACAGGGCATTAACTGATTGGTAGAAAAAAAATGAGAGTGAATGTCAACTACTCTTATCTTAAGGCCGAATTCGGGATTCACTGTTTTGTTTTGTAATGTTGGGTCAAATTGCTTTTAGGTGGGATACTAAGATTTTGTTTGGTTAGTTCGTAATTTGGATAGTTAATCTAAATTACCCCTAACCAATACCTTGTAAATATGGGATTATGGCACCCCTAGTGCCACAATATAATTTTATTTGGACGTTTAAAAAAAAAAAAATGATTCTGTCAAAGACTTGGACATGGTACTTTGTTTGATAGGTTTCCAAGAAATTAGAGAATCACCAAGGAAAACACAAAAATCAGTTGTTGATTTGCCAGTTTAGGGTTTAGGGTTTAGATGAAAGAGAAGTAAAAGGAATTCATTGAAAAATTGAAAATTAATGTTTATAGAGAAAAAAAGTTTATATATATACATCAATTTCCAATACCAACAAACTAACGTCTAACAAACTGAACAGAAATAACTAATTATATTTAATTCTAATATCCAATAATAGTACTCTAAAACTGATTCTCGAGAATATGATCAAATATATGAAATAAACACCCCTTTGAATGAGACAAGATGATAATAAAAGAATATAAACTCAAAATTGGAGAAACCCATAGAAAATTTGTGAGAGAGTAATAACATTCTCAAATTTGACATCATCTATATTATAATAACCTAATTTCGTCAAAAAAAAAATGCTAAAATTGAAAGAAAAGTAGTAATAAAAAAATGTTAAAAAAGAGAAAATAAATAAAATATAATAAAAATGAAAATATATTAGAAGAGGAAAAACAACAAGTGAAATATATATACACTCTTATCTAAGTAAAAAAAAAACTAAAAAAAGAGAGAAGATTTTAAAGTTTTTATGTTCAACATCATAAGTTCACAATGTCATACCTTTTGCTATAGTTATCCGTTTAAGGTGTTCTTTGCACCGTTGGAAAGTTTGATAATAGATCTACAATTGTTGTTTCTAGGATGAAAATTAAAATCCATCTCCATCTTGATGAAAATCAATTCCAAAGTAGTTGATTTGTTAAAAAAATGTTAAAGTCTCACTTTATTTTTCTTCTCAGCTAAAAGTCTCACATTGCCTACAATGATCTCATGCACCTTCTTCTTCCCTTATATAAGGAGGATATCCAAAACCTTCAAACACATGCAAAACAAAAATTCTCACCAATTGTGTATCTAAATTTGAGACTAGTGGAAACATTAGATCCATAATAAACTTTTTAAGGACCTAACAGAAGGTGTTAGGCCTATAAAAAAAAATTTCTTTTCTTTTGAGTCTTTTATTGGAGAGGGTGAATTGTCATCTAGATGAAGATCCTTCTCAAAAGAAGCACGTGAGACACTATAACAAATTGTCGTCTTGAAGTTATTGTCTTTTATCTTATCTTTTTTTTATAAATATATTGTTTATTCAACATATTTTTTTTAGAAATATTTTTTTACAAAATTTAATTTTCCTTTTTCTTGTAAATTCATAATAATATCTTTTATAATAATTAAATTAACAAACTTACCAAAATGGAAAAAAGAGTTAAATAATGACATCTTTTAACTTTTTAAAGTGACAGTTTGATATACTCGAATTTCTCCTTTAATTAATTTTTATAATCCTTCTATAATAATAAATAATAATTAAAATATTTAAATAAGTTAACTTGAGTATACACTTTTATCAATTTTATAATTTAGAATGAATAAACTGTGGCAGTTTATAAATTCTAATTAACATCTAATGAATATAAAAATTATCTGTAAAAGAATAAATTAAAAAATTAACACAAAAATATTTTCTACCAGAGAATTATGTGACTTTAATTCTCTATTGTACATGCAGATATATAGAAACAAGAAAATTATTCTTGTCAAGCAAAAAAAAATGAAAAATTAATATGTTCTCTCATTTTTCCATATCAATAACAATAATAATTTTAGTATTTACTAAAATAAAACATACATATTTGTTAAATAAAATATATTTGATAGTCATAGTTAACTTTATTAACTTGTAGTGATAGTTTGTTTAATTAATTAGAAGTAATTGTTTTTACGATGGACATATAAGATTCTAATACCTTTCTTATATGTGAATGACTTTCAAATAAAAAAAAATCTATTTTTATAAACTATTTTTCTATTTTATAATTTTTAATATATTTTAAAAAAAATAAATATTAGTGATGATTCCTTATTTTTTTTAATCTATTTTTTTATCATCATGTGACAACTCTAGTTGCTACATCTATTTTTTTTAAGTAAAATAAAAAAATTGAAACTAAATTGCATAAAAAATAAATTGGAATACACAGGAATTCATATTTAATTGGATGCACCCATAATTTTATTTTAAGAAAAAACTACATTATTACTTATACATTTCATACTTCACGGTTTTTGTCTTTTGTTCATGGACTTCTAATCCCACTTTTGAATAAATAAATAAAAGATATAAATATGCAATTTCAAGTAAAGAGTTATACTTTAATTTTTTTTTTCTAACCAAATTCTTACATTTGGGTAAATATTAAGTTTGTTTTTCATCCAGAATTTTCACCATCTACCGATCTTTTTTCATTAGTTTGTAATTTATTCCTTGGTTCTAGCAATGAAATTATCTTATACTCATTAAAAATTTATTTATTACCTACCCACCAAATTTAATAATGCTGAAAGTGAAAGTATATTAAAAAAACATAAATCTCACTTAAAAAATTAAATTAAATTAACATATAAAATATATAAATAAATAAAAAAATTATTTTACAAATCAATTTAATATAATTAAATTAAATGTAAACACATTCAAGTGTCCCTGCCGACAATTTACATTTGAAAATCTCACTAAAATGTGACACCGTATTAAATGTAAACACATTCAAGTGTCCCTGCCTGACAATTTACATTTGAAAATCTCACCAAAATGTGACACCGTGGATGGCTAAATCAAACTTGGGAAACACGACTCCGATTGATCCAAGTTGATGTCTCATTATAGGACATATAATGAAATCATCTTAGCACTTTATATGATGAATTATCCACTCAGTTCTCATTTTCTTGCACATTAGTCACGATTCATCGCATAAAAACCTTGGATATAGTCCCTAACAATTGATCTTACCTAGGATAATAGGAATCTAACGGTATCACTTGATAACTATGTCATTTAATTACAATAGACTATCATGTCATCATGAGAGAAATTTTAATCTAAGCCTTTTCAATCAGCATCCAATCTTGTGATCAAGAACATTTTAGCAAAGCTCTTTGTTCTAGTTCTTTTCATCCTCTAGTTATTAGTTAGGTCTCTATAACATGAATGGTCCAACTTGAGGTTATAGTATCAGTCAATTAACCATGTAAGTTAGTTCAATATATTACTAGTCAGTTGCAATATAGCCTAGCTGCAATTATCATTATATATAAAACACATATTGCATTCATATTTTATAATAAGCTTCTAAATCATCCTTCCTAATAATGAAAATGAATTCCTTTTTTCTTTCTCAAGTTTTCTCTCTCTATTACTATCTTCACAACTAATATTACTCTATCAGTTTAACTTTAGTCACTTGGGCTAATTAAGATCATCTTTTAATTATATAATGGTATATAACAAAATGAAAAATAATGAAAGATAATAACATTAATTAGTTATTATTTCTGAATTATTTGAAAAGAAATGAAATTTAATGAAATATATTTCTTTTTCTCATATATTATTTTTAGGGAATAACCAGGTCAACTTTTCTTGAGAATATATTAATTAC